TATCCATCCATCCAGTTCCCTCACCATCCCTCCATCCAGTTCCCACACTCATCCCTTCATCCAGTTCCTCCCACCATCCATTCATTCATCCAGTTCTACCACCATCCATCCATCCATCCAGTCCCCCCACCATCCATCCATCCAGTCCCCCCACCATCCATCCATCCAGTCCCCCCACCATCCATCCATCCAGTCCCCCCACCATCCATCCATCCAGTCCCCCCACCATCCATCCATCCAGTCCCCCCACCATCCATCCATCCAGTCCCCCCACCATCCATCCAGTCCCCCTTCTCCATCCATCCAGTCCCCCTTCACCATCCATCCATCCACCCCCTTATCATCTATTTAGTTGGTTTCATCCATCCAGGGGGGCTTCATCCATCCAGTTCCCCTCACCATCCATCCATCCAGTTCCCCCACCATCCATCCATCCATCAATGGGGCAAACTGCAAAGGGGCTGACGCCCCTTCGAGAAACCGACCTGCGCACAGAGCGAACACCACGCCGACCAGACGCAGACGAGTCCAAAGACGGCACCGGCTCCAAAAGTGGCACCTGTTGCATACCCCTGATGAGCGGAACCGCGGGCCCTGGCACGACCCCTCCCAGAAGAATCCACCCGGGACTCCCAGAGAACCAACAAGTCGGACATTGAACGACAGCTGGAAAAAGCCACTTGCATATACTGCTGACCGCAGAGGCCACAAACAGCAAGGAACAAAAGGTCGAAGACAACCTAAGAGCCAGGGCCCAAGCGGATTCCAAGGAGGAAGCGACCACAACTTATCGACACGTGAGACACAGTGAAAAACAGCGAGAGTTCATCCCGCAGGAATGGTGCAAACAGCTTCAAAAGTTCAAACGCCGCACAAGCAGCCAAGACTAAGACACCAGACCCAGGAATGGCCACAAGTGCTTTTACATCCTCTGCAAGCCAATCCGAAGACAGCTCCAGGAGGGAAAAAGAAACGCAAGACCAAAATCAGCAAGCCACGAGCGCGCAAGTCCTCAGCCACAAGCGCAACCGTCTGGAAAGGAACCTGCACATGAAGCTGAATCGCGCCCACATCCCGCAGAAGGGCAGGAGCGAAAAGACACTCATTACGTTGCTCAAAATCGCCCCAGGTAAACCTGGACCATAGTCAATGCCTCGCGCCCCCCTCAAGTGTGCGGGTATAACAGAAAGCGCCCCAAGCATCCAATGACAACAATGGGCAGTCTGCAAGTTAGGACGACTCCGGAACCTCATAACAAACCCAGTATGGAGACGAAGATCCAAACATGAAGGAAGACGGATGCATTATAGAGGCATATTCTGGGTCGCACAGGAGTAAGTCGCAATGGCCACCTGCACCTTAGTAGGCGAGACACAGGAAGCCGAAAACCTCCAGAAAGACGGAACTGAAGGACCCGCAGGGATACGGAACCGAACCCAGATCCAACTCATATGCAGAGGGGGGAAAGGAAAACCTGACTCTGTAACAGTAAGTAACACTGAGGATCGGAAAACCCAGGCGGGGTCCAACAGGGCCCAAGGCCCCCAAGTCAGCTCCTCTCCAACCCCGGGAACCTCCACATCAGGGCCCGAAGTTGAGTCATCCTCCAAAGCCTCACAAGAAAAAGCCGAGGCAGCCGGAAAAGCAGGAAGAGACTGGTGCCCACTGGTCTGACCCCGGTGCCACGGCTGGAGGAATGTACTTGAATGCCTCGTTTGCCATCCCGGAAGGGGCAACCCCCGAAACTGCCCACAAAGCGAGGCTGCCTTGGGGCATTCAGGGAAGCAACTAATCTAGCACATTGCAGCAACCTAAACCTGGTCTGCAACACCCGAGCCACCTGCGCCCAAATTATGTCATCAAGAGATTGGGTGAACTGAATCACAAACAAGCAACAATGCTCACAGGGCTCCGTGTCAAAGGTGTTACCAACCCAACAGGCAGCATGATGGAGGCAAAAAGTATGAGCATCGCCCTGAGACAAGGGGACAGGGCCACCCTTAAACTCACACAAGACGAGAGGGGCCCCACGGGTTGCATCCGTCAAATCCCGTGTGACCCCACGGGATTTCCCAGGGCCCCTAGAATGGTATCACTAAGGGTAAGCCCAGGCAGGGTACTGCTAACTGGCCCCCCAATGCTATCAAACAAACTGCTAAAGCTGAACCCCCGGGATGTGTCCACTCACGGGGGTAAAGCAGGGGTACCACCGAAAATAGAAGGTCAACCCTAATATAACTGGGAAAAGAGACACAAAGGCAGACCATCTTCCCCCCCCCCCCCCCACCAAGCAAAAAGAAAAAGAAAAACCTCACAAGAGGACAACGTACCCAGGAGGTACAGAGCCGGCCGCTGTTAATGGTGAAAACTAGCTGTGCAGTACCCCGTGTCCCTACCAGGGCAAAGACTACCACTTACCCCAAGGCAAACAAGGGAAGGAAACCCCACAACACACTTGGGGTGGTCAATTGCCGAGCAGCAAAAGACCAAAACAGAGGTAGATCTTCCACAAGTCACCTTCCCAAGGTGACTTGTGGAAGATAACCCCAGACCCCAAAGGCGGTACTTACAGGGCACTCAGGAAAGTGCCCTGTACGTATCTGGGAGCCGTGGGTGCCCCTTAGCACATTTGGTCCCGAGTACCTGTGAATATTACTCCCAGCTCACACGCCACCGTACGAGCAGTACTGGACCCAAGGTACAGCACAATATAGAGAGAGAGTCAGGAGCTGGAACCACACGACCATGCCATATCACATCTGCCGAAGAACTACTGGGTGGATCGCCGGCGTGGGGTGGATCGCTGGGCGGCGTCACCGTCGCCCCAAACCCCCCTGGCCAGCCAGGGGGGTTTGGGGCTCCCCCTTCCCCCTCCTGGGGAGAAGGAGCTGCTCAGACATGCAGTGCGGCTCGTGTGATATGCTCGTTTGCTCATTTTCATTTGGGGAGTTCTTTCCACTAGTTTGTCTATTTTAGCCATTTTAATCAGAATAGGGGTTTGATTTGAGATGCTTACCTTTCTGGGTGCCTGTCCCGGTCGATGGCAGATACAGAATGCTCCAAATCACATGTCTATTTCAATAGGCCATTGCTCCTTGGGCCTCTCTGAGGGGGCCAGGTTCCGGCTGTGGTCACCGGTAGGCCTAGAACTCCATTCACACTGACTGATGCCAAAGTCTAATGATATACATATCAGCCTGGATAGCTGCGGTGAGCCGAAGGGGCTCCCCCCCAGAAACTATCTGAAGCATTCTGCATAAAATTGATTTTGAAGTTTATATTTTTGGGTGTGTGGAACAGATTAATTCAATTTACATTATTTCTTACGGGAAAATTCAATTCGGTATACGAATGTTCGTTTACGATATGTCTCTTGAAACTGATTAAATTCTTAGACCAAACGTCCACTGTATTAGACTGAAACTTTAGAGGCTATTTCTAGCTGGCCAGCCAGAAACACTACATTTCTCCCTCACTGAGTGGTGAATGGCAGTAGCACACATTTGAGTGGCAGTGAGGGAGAGAGGCAGTGAGGGAGGGAGGGAGAGAGAGAGAGAGGTATTGAAAAGGGGAAAGAGAGATAGTGAGGGAGGGATGGAGAGAGATAGTGAGTGAGGGAGGGAGGGAGAGAGAGAGGGAGGAAGAGAGAGAGGTAGTGAGAAAGGGAGAAAGATAGTGAAGGGGAAAGGGATAAAGGCAGTGAGAAAGTGAGGGAGAGAGGTGAGGGAGGGAGAATGGCAGTGGGGTTAGGGTGGGAGAGGGAGGGGGAGAGGTAGTGAGGAAAGGAAGGGGTGATACAGGGAAGGAGGAAGAGAGGAAGAGGGGCAGAGAGGCAGTGAGGGAGGGCGGTAGAGAGAGAGGGGGAGAGGCAGAGAGGGAGGGAGATAGTGAGAGAGGGGGAGAGGCAGTAAGGAGGGAGATAGTGAGAGAGGGGGAGAGGCAGTGAGGGAGGGAGATAGAGAGAGAGGGGGCGAGGCAGTGAGGGAGGGAGATAGTGAGAGAGGGGAAGAGGCAGTGAGGGAGGGAGATAGTGAGAGAGGGGAAGAGGCAGTGAGGGAGGGAGGTAGTGAGAGAGGGAGGAGAGGCAGAGAGGGAGGGAGGTAGTGAGAGAGGGGGAGAGGCAGAGAGGGAGGGAGGTAGTGAGAGAGGGGGAGAGGTAGTGAGGGAGGGAGATAGTGAGAGAGGGGGAGAGGCAGTGAGGGAGGGAGGTAGTGAGAGAGGGGGGAGAGGTAGAGAGGGGGGAGAGGTAGAGAGAGAGGGAGGTAGTGAGAGAGGGGGAGAGGCAGAGAGGGAGGGAGGTAGTGAGAGAGGGGGAGAGGCAGTGAGGAAGGGAGGTAGTGAGAGAGGGGGTGAGGCAGTGAGGGAGGGAGGTAGTGAGAGAGGGGGAGAGGCAGAGAGGGAGGGAGGTAGTGAGAGAGGGGGAGAGGCAGTGAGGGAGGGAGATAGTGAGAGAGGGGGAGAGGTAGTGAGGGAGGGAGGTAGTGAGGGAGGGAGGTAGTGAGAGAGGGGGAGAGGTAGAGAGGGAGGGAGATAGTGAGAGAGGGGAGAGGCAGTGAAAGAGGGAGATGGTGAGGAAGGGAGAGAGTCAGTGAAAGAGAGGGGTGGGATTTCATTGAGAAAAATTATTTAAATCTATCATATGAAGGAAATTTAACAGTTTATCCTGTGATATGATGGGAAATGTTTCCACCAGACTGTGAACTCTATGCCAACATCCTAAGCAAATCCACACATCCCCCATTTTGGCGAGCCAGAGTGTGTTGAATCAAGTGAGTAAATCGAGCCTGAAAAATGTGTGTCCTAACTGGAGATTCGCCAAACCAGGATCAGCGAATCTCAGCCACAATGGGTCAAAAGTTGACCAATCTGGAACTCTTCTGAATTCCCAGTGAATTTAGTAGTTCCGGGTTGGTAGATTTTTGGACCCATCATGGCCGAGTTGCATAAGGCAGGTGTCTGGGAACCACCAGAACGCCCGAAATAACATTTTAAATTCATACCTTAATTGGATCATAGAATGTTTGAATGTTGTCAAGCATTTCCTTTGCTTTCTCCAGTTCTACTTCCACCTTATCACGTTGCCCTTCAAAACTACGTTTTTCCATTTTTTCTACCACTGATTCTGCTTCCCGTATAGCTTGCTCCAACTGGGCACCTGAGGAACATATATTTCAATTTAATATCATAGTATTTTTCTTTCCATGTGAAAATAATGACTTAATTTGTATTGATGTAATATGGAGAAACATTGTGAAAGTTTTTAAGAAATGGAATACTGTTGCAATAACACAAAATGCAAACAAAAAGAATATGAGGAAAAGGGCACAGATAAATATTAAACTTACAAACAAAACAAACGAAAAAAAACAGCGTTGAATGTAATGAAACGCCATTTTCTGGGTGAGCGCCGGAGGCTCCCTGGAGCTTATCGGGCTAATGTATGTTATATTAGACCGGGACATTAGCTAAGGAGTTCAGACTTACCAGGGACCAGCGCCAGAACCTGGCCCCTTCAGAGAGGTTTCAGGGAGCAATGGCCCTGGAAAACCCCCTTGTAATTGGGGTTTTCCTTATCTGCCATCGACCAGGGTTAGGCACCCAGAAAGGTAGGCATAACAAAACTAACCCCACATGGTAAGAAACTAAAACAAAAAAACTGAGAGGTAGAAACTCCCTACAATCCCAAGGAAACAAGCAAACATCACACTTTACTGCTGCGCCGATCGTCCGCGCAGCCCTCCCCGCCCAGAGAGGGAAAAAAGGGAGTCGCGGACCTCACTGTGTAGGCTGCCTGGCATCAGTTCGGAAGCTAAGCTTCAACCAACGCGAAAAAACTGCTGACCCACCGGTCGGTGGTTTTTTCAACGGGTCTCGGGTGGGGAGATCCGAGCCCTGAAACAGGGAACAAAGGGAACCGGATCAACCCAAAGCGCATCCCCGGACACGGTACGCAGGTAACGGCAAAAAAGCACAACCGGACAACACAGGATGCACCCCTGGCCAAACCAATCAAGCATCAATAACCCAAGGACCCCCCCCCCCCCCTAGTAAGCAGCTGTCTCAACCGTCGCCAGAAGGACGGAGAAAGGCTGCAAACGTACAAATCTACCACCAGTACCAAAGAGCAGAAACCTGAACCAAACGGGCTACCACAAACTGAGAAGATAAGAGGTCACCCTAATCAAGGACCAGGACGACTCAGGCGACGCATGAGCAGACCGAAGATAAAACAAAACACGAGAAAGCGTATGGAATGGGGCAGATGTGACCTCCACACTGAACGCAAGCCGGAGCGGCTCCACCAGTACCGCACAAAACGAGGCGTCAGTAAGAAACATCAAATAACTGTAGTCCTGAAAACCCAAGAAAGGACAAGATAACCTGATGGGAAAGAGAAGACGACCTACAAGAAAAAGGTCAATAGAAACATCATACTGTCTCTGAGACGAAGCTCATAGGTGGGACACCATCAACAAAGCCACCTGATCACCACAGAGATGGTGATACCCACGTCAAAAACCAGACGCAAAGAGCCAAGGAGAAGGGCTAACCAGCAACGTACAGGACCGGTCCGACCTGCCAAAATAGGCGGAGCCATGGGAAAACACCCCGGGTTCGGACACCTATCAAGCATCATCTGAAAATAAAACTTGGCCAGCCACCAAGGGACAATGAGGACTACTCTCTTGGGAATGGGCTCCAACCGAGTCAGAACCTGAAGCAACAGCTGGACTGGGAGAAGAGGAACAGGTACCCCCACCTCGACCAGTCCTGCCGAAAGGCATCCACCATGAACGCCTCTCAGGCAGGTAAGGGCGCCACATAGAATGGGCGATGCCTAGACCACGCCGACTCGAAGAAGTCCATGGCCAGGAGTCCATATGTCCAGCAGAGCCAACGAAACGAGTCGGCGATGACTGGTCAATCCGCTAACAGAGGAATGAACTGAAACAGGCTGTCGGCCAGGACGTAGGACACACCCCGAACATGAACCTCACGGTTAGCCAAAACCCGAGAATCCAGCAAACGAGCCACTCGAAGGGACCAACCCCAAAGGCAAACACCTAAGAGAAACCCTGTGGTTCCGGCAAAGAACCGCCAGAGAACAGTCCGAATGGAGCCGAATGGTAGAGCACCGAGTGACTCGAACCCTCCGAAGGGCAAACCAGACAGCCATGAACTTCCGAACCATGCTGTGAGCCTAACGGATGGACAGGCCCCACCCGGCCGACCTAGTGAGCACTGATCACAAAGCCCCAGCCGATAGATGACCTGTCCGTTAACACATCGAGTGAAGGCTCAGGGAGGTTCCAAGGCACGGAACTTCGAAAACCTCAAAGAGGAAGCTGGTGACACAGCACCAACACAAGATCCCCGGAGGAACGAACCCAACGATTGCAAGAGAGGTGGAAGGGGAGTCTCCGAAGGAACCAAACAGACGCCGAAGCAAAACCCGACCCTGCGGGCAGACCAGCACGTCGAAGTTCAGACTCCCACACAACCGCTCGAGCAACCACCGAGCAACCCAGGACCCCCTCATGAACAGCCGAAGACAGGACCACAGCCACAGCAACATTTCAGGAGGGAAGGACAAGGAGCGGCCCAAGAGCTCTAAACAAGACCCAGCCAGGTCCAAACCCGGGACGAAAACAGATGGAACGGCCTCCAGATCACCAGGAAACCAAGCCCGGCGATCTGGAAAGAACCACACACCTAACGAGCAGACAAGCAGACCGACTGGAAGCCCACACCAGCCAGTCGTCAAGGTAGGCCAAACACCAAATCCCAAGGAGATTCAGACAGATCACCAAGATCCGGTAAAGATGCGTAAATACACCAAGCGCCAATTACAAACTAGGGAAGGCAACAAAAGCAGCAAGCTTGAAGTCCCACCACCAACTGTGCCAGTTCTGGAAAACTGAAGAAGAACGTGCCAAGAATTGACCTGGAGGTCCAGGGCCACCATCCAGGCACCCGGCCCCAACAGAAGCCGGACTGGAGACAACAGTCCTCCGATAAGGGCATAGAATCCAGGGCGCAAACTGAAGAAGTCCAGAAGAACCGCAGATTCGCCAGGCCCGTGTCTGCATAGAACAGACGAGAACCCCAGAAGGATGGGGTGGAACGACCACGTCCAACGCACCCACTAAGATGACATGACAAAGCACAGTGGAAGAAGCCCACCCCGCCAGCCCTGAAACCCCCAAAGAGGTAGAAGCCATCCTCCGCTGCCACCAGAGGCCGGAAGACAACAAAAGCGCTGCCTAACTGCGGGACCATGCGAGAGTCAAAGGTGCAAAGCTGTTCCTCCAGCGCCCCGTCAACAGCGAAGTGAACAGAGCCCCTTCCGAAAGAAAAAGTATACATACATATATATACATACATATATATTATGTACATATACATATATATATATATATACATAAACACACACATAAGGTGTATTACACACGTGTGTATGCACATACATATGTGTGCACATACGTTTCTGCCCGAAACGCTTTGCGTAATAGTGGCTTTAGGCATTGTATGTACTAGCTCTATCTATAAAGCCAACAAACTTTGTAAAATCTCTTTATGTATGTACCTTGCCTAAATAAAATTATTATTATTATTATACACAGAAGGGAGAGGAGGAGGTGGTGTAGCTTTACTGATAAGAAAAGGTTGGAGTTTTGAAGAGATGGTTAATCAGAGCTGTGAAGGTTTTAGTGACTACATATCAGGCACCAAAACAACTGGAGGACAGAAAATTATAGTAGCAGTCATATATAACCCCCCACCAAACGACAGAAGACCCAGACAGGAATATGATAGAAACAACATGGCCACCATCAATATAATAGAGAGAGCAGCTTCTGTGGCTAGCAGGAACGGATCCAGACTACTAATCATAGAAGATTTCAACCACGGGAAGATAGATTGGGAGAACAGAGACCCACATGAAGGACTAGACACATAGAAAGCTAAGCTGATGGACGTGACAACAAGAAACTTTCTAAGTCAGCACGTCAAGGGACCAACAAGAATGAGAGGAGAGGATGAACCAGCTTTGCTTGATCTGATATTTACCCTAAATGAGTCGGAATGAGTGGGAATTTACCCCTTAGAAATGAGTGATCATAGTGTATTGAGCTTTGAGTACCTGGTTGAGCTAGGAATTATCTCCCCCAAAAAAGAACTGGGAAACAAAGGGCTGGCATACCAAAAGGGAAACTATGAGGAGATGAATAAATTCCTAAAGGATATACCATGGGGCACAGAACTCAAAACTAAGTCCGTACAAGACATGATGGACTATGTCACCCAAAAGTGTCAGGAGGCAGTAAACAGGTTTATCCCGGCCTGACAGGAAAAAAATGAGAAGCAAAAGAAGAATCCGTGGTTTAATTTAATAGGGAATGTATGAAAGCAAAGGAGCTGAACAAAAGGTCGTGGAGGAACTTCCGTAATAACAGAATACCAGAAAGTAGAGAGAGAGATAACAGAGAACGAGGAACGAGTATCTTAGTGTGAGAAGAGCAGCTGAGAAAAGGCATGAAAATGATATAGCTAATAAAGCCTAGACCAAACCAAAGCTACTACACAGTCACATCACGAGGAAAACAACAGTGAAGGAACAGGTGATGAAACTTAGAACGGGTGAGGACAGGTACACAGAGAATGACAAAGAGGTGTGTGAAAAACTCAACAAAAGGTTCCAGGAGGTCTTTACAATAGAACAGGGAGACGTCACAGTGCTAGGAGAGGTGGCAGCAAACCAGGCAACCTTGGAAGGGTTTAAAATTACAAAAGATGAGGTCAAAAGGGACCTATTGGAGCTGGACGTGAGAAAGGCTGTTGGGCCGGACGAAACCTCACCATGGGTATTGAAAGAGTGTGCAGGAGCACTTTGCCACTCTCCATAGTGTATCAACAGGGGACACAGGTGGAAATTGAGTGCCCAAATGAGCCATAGAGACATTAGAAAGAATTTTTTCAGTGTCTAGAGTAGTAGACAAATGGAATGCAATAAAAAGTTATGTGGCTGTCTCCATACATAGCTTCAAGTGTAGATATGATAGAGCCCAATAGGCTCAGGAACCTGTACACGCACATCAACAAACTGGAAAAGGTGCAAAGACATGCTACGAAGTGGCTCCCAGAACTGAAGGGCAAGAGCTACGAGGAGAGGTTGGAAGCATTAAACATGCCAAAACTAGAAGACAGAAGAAAAAGAGGTGATATGATCACTACATACAAAATAGTAACAGGAATTGATAAAATCGACAGGGAAGATTTCCTGAGACCTGGCACTTCAAGAACAAGAGGTCATAGATTTAAACTAGCTAAACACAGATGCCGAAGAAATATAAGAAAATTCACCTTCGCAAATAGAGTGGTAGACGGTTGGAAAGAGTTAAGTGAGAAGGTGGTGGAGGCCAAGACCGTCAGTAGTTTCAAAGCGTTATATGATAAAGAGTGCTGGGAAGACGGGACACCACAAGCATAGCTCTCATCCTGTAACTACACTTAGGTAATTACACTTAGGTAATTACACAGTGTACACATGTACATGTGTACACACACACATACATGTCAAAAGAAAATTACAAGCTGTCGACCAGTGGGCAGAGAGCACCACGCCGGCCAGGCGAAGAAGGCACAAAACTGCATCAAAAAGGCCCACCTCGACAACAAAACCCCCAAGTCTCAGCACGACCACAACACGTGCCAAGACCCAAAAAGATCAGTCTGCAAGCCAGGAAGACCCCAGAACCCCAGAAGGCAGAACTGGGTCACATATGAGGAAACAAAGCCCCCTGAACCCACAAAGGGGGGCCCAAGAGGAAGATACCTCCGGAACGAAACCAAAGAACCCAAAGGAACCCAGAATCGAACTAGGGGGAGTCCAAACCACCACATTTGCCAGCAGAGATACACCACAGAAAAGCAAAGCACAGCCCCCAGACAGAACCCCCAGGGAAACAGACAAAATAGACCGAAAACCAAGGGACAAGGTGTGGGAGCAAACATAAAAGACAGGGACACTCAGCCCAAACCCCAGAGCCCAGACCCAAAACAGACAAAACAGAAAACCTGGTGTAAAATCAACACTCAAACGTTCCCAGAGGAACAGAAAATGGGCAGAAAACACCAGAAAAGCAAGGAAACGACAACAGGAGAATAAAAACCCTGAAAAAGGTGAAAAAACTCACCCAAGATGCTTGCTCGCACACCCAGGCGCATGTAAACAAACCGCAATGCTGCCTTGGTGGCCACGCCGAGAAACCGGCAGAAGAAAATGGCCACCAGAACAGAAGGCTGTGACCAACGCAAAAGATACGAAAACATGCCAGCAAAAGTGGGAAGCAAGCAGACTGGATGGGCCAAAAATTCTGCCCAGAAGCAGAAAACCCAGGCAGGGGCAAACCGCTCCAGAACTGCTAGTAGGCATCCCCCACAGCCCCGGGAACCCGGAACAGAGGCCCCGGGGCAGAGCCGTCCTCGAAGCCCTCCGCCCTTAGAGAAAAGTTAGAGTCCATGGGAAAGGCAGCAAGTAAAGGCCTCTGGTAAGACCCAGAAGCCTTGGCAGGAAGAACAGGCTCGAAAACTTCCGTCCCCAACTTGAACGGGGCAGCCCCTGAAACCGCCCGAGTCTCGGCCCCAACTAAACCCCGCCCCGACCCCGAAACCCGCAGACGGTTCGGAGCCGGGAACAGCGAGGGAAAGGGGCAAACAGCACCTACCCAAAATGGGGCGGTTCTGGGGCATCCGAGTGAGAAACCAACTTGGCATGTTGCAGCAACCTAACCTAGCTTGCAACACGGATGCCGCCTGTACTCTGAACAGTAATAACACCATGAGAGTACTGGAGGACAAGCAGAGAATCTCTCTCACAAGACTCCGGGTCAAAGTGTCAGTGACCCAACAGGCAGCATGACGGAGGTAAAAGTGGCGACTGTCACCCAGAGATAAGGGCACAGCAACCAACGATCCTGTACAAGACGGGTTGGAACCCGGAAGACACATTTAATGGTCCACCGAGCCCCAACAGGGGTTTCCAGGGACCGTAGGGTAACAACTATGGGAAGCCCGGGTAAGGTGTTGCTAACCGGTTAAGAAACCCAGAAATAACAAGGGGTAGAGGACAACACTGAAAACCCCTGCGAAAGCCCCTACAATCACGGGGCTAAGCAGGGGCCACCAAACACTACCAGTGGAACTATAGCCACACTAGGCAGACCCCCCGCCAGGCAATTGAAAATAAAAACAAAAGAAGAACGCAGCAAAAGTACACGGTCTCCAGAGGCAACAGGAACCGGTCGCCGCTTAGGTGGCAGGTCGCGCAACACCTTGACGCCCTAACCAGCACAATACTAGTCCCTACCCAGGGCCAAACAAGATCCCCAAGCCCCAGCTGGCCCCAAGGGCGAGGCAAATGCCAAGCAGCAAGAACCTCTACAGGAATGGTTCCCGAATGCCCCAGGGAAGATAACCCTGTCACACAGGGGCAGTACTCACAGGGCACTTAGGGAAGGAAGCCCCCTAAGCGCATGCAGCCCTGGTACTGATGAGGAACACCTGGCCACCGCACAACACAACACACAGCAGTGAACGCCACACAAGGCAAACACCGCCTAGGAAACTGAGGCCAGAGAAGCGTCTATTCCGGTTGACATTAGCTTACAAACTGATGCTAGGCAGCCGGCGCGGTGAAGTCCGGGGGCTCCCCTCCCCTCCCCCTCTAGGGGCGGAGGACTGCACGGACGATCGGCACGGCAGTAAAGTGTGATGTTTGCTTGTTAACTTGGTTCCTTGGGATTGTAGGGAGTTTCTACCTTTCTGTTCGGTTTTTTGTTTTAGTTTTTTACCATGTGGGGTTTGTTTTGTTATGCTTACCTTTCAGGGTGCCTAACCCTGGTCGATGGCAGATAAGGAAAACCCCAATTACAAGGTGGTTTTCCAGGGCCATTGCTCCCTGAAACCTCTCTGAAGGGGGCCAAGTTCTGGCGCTGGTCCCTAGTAGGTCTGAACTCCTTAGCTAATGTCCCAGTCTAATATAACATACATTAGCCCGATAAGCTCCAGGGAGCCATAGGGGCTCCCCACAGAAAAATCATAATTGATAAACTGACAATATCTGTTACTACAGGTAAGATTATCTCATCCCACACCAATTGTCAACAATCACTATATAATTGGACTTTAGTACCCCTTTACATATATGGCAAATATAGAGACCACCAAATATATTCTGTACATACATTTAGGAAAAAGTAAGTTATGAAAAGGTGTCTATGCAGAAAAGGAAATATAAAGATTTTTTACCTGTGCCTGTTTCTAGACCAATTACAAGTCTATTAACCTCAGCAATAATTCCTCGTGCTAAATTAAAGGCTGCATCTATATTTTCTTGAACCTTTAATGCATCTATATGAACATTAAAACTATTTTCAGCAGCACTTCCTGCTCGATCAAACACAATTCCACTCTGAAAAAAAAAAAAAGTTTCACAAATATTGATCTACGAACACCAGCACCAAAACAGGATAAAAAATAGATATTCTAGTGAAAATAAATATAAGAATTTGGTATATTGTACAATGTAAACAGTAGCATTCTGTTCTATAACCTATCATACACTTCTTACTCTATACAGTCAACTAGCGCTACAGACAGCCACTTGGTTTGCGAATTTAAGTTATATGAAAGTTACAGTTTCCCAATTGGAGTTGGGGTTTCATGCTACACTAAGTTTGGAAAGTGACGAAGCAGTCCGTCAAGCCTTGCGCCGGCCAGGTTGCTCAGGGTGGTGGGTGGGGTGGGTGGGAGATAGCTTACCTGCTTGATACCTGCTTGATGGGGTTCTGGGAGTTCTTCTACTCCCCAAGCCCGGCCCAAGGCCAGGTTCAACTTGTGAGAGTTTGGTCCACCAGGCTGTTGCTTGGAGCGGCCCACCGGCCCACATACCCACCACAGCCCGGCTGATCCGGAACTTCTCTTAGAAAACAGTCCAGTTTTCTCTTGAAGATGTCCACGGTTGTTCCGGAATTATTTCTTATAGTCGCTGGGAGGACATTGAACAACCGCGGACTTCTGATGTTTATACAGTGTTCTCTGATTGTGCCTATGGCACCTCTGCTCTTCACTGGTTCAATCCTGCATTTTCTTCCAAATCGTTCACTCCAGTACGATGTTATTTTACTGTGTAGATTTGGGACCTGGCCTTCCAGTATTTTCCATGTGTATATTATTTGGTATCTCTCTCGTCTCCTTTCTAGAGAGTACATTTGGAGAGCTTTGAGACAATCCCAATAATTTAGATGTTTTATCTCGTCTATGCGTGCCATATATGTCCTCTGTATTCCCTCTATTTCAGCAATCTCTCCTACTCTGAAGGGGGAAGTGAGTACTGAGCAGTACTTGAGACAGGACAACACAAGTGACTTGAGGAGTACAACCATTGTGATGGGATCCTTGGATTTGAAAGTTCTCGTAATCCATCCTATCATTTTTCTGGCTGACGCAATATTTGCTTGGTTATGCTCCTTAAACATTAGATCATCGGACATCATTATTCCCAAATCCTTGACATGCTGTTTTCCTACTATGGGCAGATTCGATTGTGTTTTGTACCCTATATCATGTTTCAGATCCTCATTTTTGCCATACCTGAGAACCTGATATTTATCACTGTTAAACATAATGTTATTTTCTGCTGCCCAATCGAAAAACTTTGTTGATATCTGCTTGTAAATTTTCAATGTCTTCAGCAGAGGTAATTTTCATGCTGATTTTTGTGTCATCTGCAAAGGATGACACAAAGCTGTGACTTGTATTTTTATGATTATTTTTATTTATATCTTAGTTTGCCCAGTGACCGAGTCGGGCACCACCACTCTAGAGAGCCTTCTACTCTGTGATGTCACAGAGTAATGGTCTATTGCTCCCATTATTTTGATTTGTCATGAGGCTGGAGAGAGTTCATTCCATGACTTTGTTGGACATATCTACACAATCAAGGAACATCCGTGCACCATGTCGGCTCCAAATGCATGCATTGTGTCAGTAAAAGCATCCGTCAAGCATTCACTTATAAGTCAAAGTCAGGCAGGCATTCACAGTTGTGGTAGCAACCAGTCTCAGTTTGTAAACATTTTTCTGATGTTTACAGAGCACCAATGTTATGTACTTACACAAACCCAAAGTAAGTAGAAGTCAGTCAGGTCAGGTCAGGTCAGGTCAGGTCAGGTCCAGTCCGGTCCGGTCCAGTCGGTCGGTCGGTTGGTCATTCAGTCAGGGAGTTTGCCTCCAAGGCTACCATCTGGTAGGAAGGTAGCCGAGAATCTGAACTGTATTAACCCTCAAACCGCGCATATCGTATATAAATGATATCAGTGACAAAACCGAAACTGCGCACATCATTTATATATGATTTCGTGTCTAGCGCTATAATTTAAACGCCCCGCCTGGGATAGGGGCAGCTATAGTACAGCCACGACCGATAGTTGCCAGATGCCACCTAGAAAAAAAATCCAGGCCAACATTCTTGGGTGTTACAGCTCAGTATTGAACAAGCCACCAAGGCTAGCGCACGCAGCATGAGCTCACAGCACCGCTGTTCAGCTTGTGACCACAGCATCGCCTACAAATACAATAATATAAATGATACTGCTATTATTTAGCAGTGATAGTATTACTGAAGCCCCCTGACTGTGATAAAACTGACCAGGATTCTGATAATAGAAGGATTGTGGTGATATTTAGCGCTGTGCTCCATGGAGGGAGGAGTAATGCTGTGGAGGGAGGGTTGTGGCGTCATTTTCTGACTGTGTGTGGCCATCTTTTACTGACTGCACTCACCATACCATCTTAGTGGTTCGCTATGGTGAACACAAATGTAGATACTTATATATAACGTGTGTATAGTGTGAGGTAACAGCGAGAGGAGTAGGTTGGGAGCCGCCATTTTGGTGAGGGAGGAGCGTCGTCTGCACGACTTGACATGTTGTTTACTGATGGCCACTATGGTCTTTGGGCACCATACCAGCTTATTTGTTCAGGTATGGTGAATAAAACAGGTAGATACTTATATATAATGTGTGTATATAGCGTAATAACACCACAAACAATATTGTTGGAGGACAAATATTAGTGCGTCTGGCCTTGAGGGCGGCTGCCGATCAGCTGACTGTGTGAGTAGCTACGTCTTATGGCCTTTACTCACCATACAAGCTTAGATGTACAGTTATGGTGAACAAAACATGTAAATACGTATATATAACGTCTGTGTATAGTGAATAAATACAGAAAGAGTATTGTGGGAGGTAAATGAGGGTGAGTGAGGTGGTGTTGAGGGAGGGAATGGCAGTGAGTGGCTCGCTGGTGTTTGGCGGTCACTCCTCGTTGCATTTTGACTCACAAGACCAACTTAGTAGTTCGTTATGGTGTACAAAACATGCAAATACTTATATATAACCTGTGTATATAGTGTAACAACAGCAAAACTATTTGTTTATTGTTTTATGAACATAATAATTGAATCACTAATATGCACACCATAATTTTGAGTACAGCGATGGTTCACACATTTTATAATATAAATATACCACAATTCACTGTATGGAATAATATTACTGCAAAAAAACTAAGAAAAAATCAATCAGAGACATTGAAATAATTAGGTAATAATATATTTGTGGCAGCTGCTGTCTGACAGCTCGGGCGGAGTAGACCTCGTCTGGCGAAGGCTCTGCCAACGCCCCTTTTTTGCCACACTTCCCTACCCTATTGCGGCTAAAATATGCCACCTACGATTTTTTTGTTATTTTTTCCGTGATCAGGGAACAAAAATGAACACTTCTATAAGACGAAAGAATTTTTGGGATTTTTTTTTTGTTGCTCCTGTGGGTGTGAATTCCATTTGGGCCCCTAGCGGTTTGAGGGTTAATTCCGAACTGACAGTCTACGCATGCCTGGAGGGGTGCGGGATATTTCTGGAAGGGTCCGGTGTGAGGATGGGGAGCGGGGTAGGATGTAGTGGGGATGGGGGAGTTGAGGGGATGTGGCTTGACTACAGCTGCTAGTCAGCCAGCCCATGTGCTCGCCTGCTATCCAGCCGCACCCACTCGCCTGCTAGCCAGCCAGCCAGCCAGCCAGCCAGCCAGCCAGCCAGCCAGCCTACTAGCCAGCCAGCATGCCCACCTGCTGGGATGGGAGAGCTGAGGGGATGTAGAATGACCACAGCTGTTAGCCAGCCTACCCATGTGCTCACCTGCTATCCAGCCCCACCCGTCCGCCTGCCCACCCGCCCGCCTGCCCACCTGCTAGCCAGTCTGCCCACCTGCTAGCCAGCCTGCCCACCTGCTAGTCCGCCAGCCTGCCCGCAACATTTTGAAGGCATTCTGGCATTTATGGACATGAGTTACAGTGAGTTTGAAACTAAGGACATGATGAGCCTGTATAATTTGTATATGAAGTTTTTGAAAACATGATCAAAGGGAATGAAACAAATGTCAATTAAAAAGTATTTTGCAAAGGCTTCCAAGAAAGCTCCCATTGCATCCCATGAACCTGACTCATCACATGTTGACCCAAATGCATCAACATCTGAGGTTAGCTTATCACCATTAATCTCCACTTCTGTCAGCCCAGCACCATCAACATCCACCACCACCTCTTCCATGTAAACACCTCTTCCATGTAAATAACTATGCTTCATCAACATTTATCCTCAGCATAACAAGTGGATCAGGACTTCTTTTATTGGTGAATACAAAGAAAATACTGTCACATTTATGCTATGAACCTCTCAATTTTTTCCCTAGATTTTTTTCAAATTTTCTCAATTATTTTTTTCCTACATTTCTCATTTACAAACTTACATAATAACTGACAGGTCTCATCCCTGAGGGGTTTGCAAACCAAGTGGTCCTCTGTATCTGTAATTTCAGCCCATTTCTTATAAGTCAATGACAACCAGGCTAGGTATTTACAACAAATCTTAACTAAACATAATTTTAGTTTAGTATTTGTAAGTTGGAAGAGGTTTTAATGCATTTTAAATACATTCTTCATTACATACTTGCATCCTAACACTCAACAAATGTATTGCAATGCATGCTCTACACTAAGATTTGATTATTGCACTTCTAAGTCAAGGTTAACTGGAATGTACTTCATTATTCTCAATACTTACACTCACCCACTCACATAGTATAAGTTAAATGCTATTAAATTTTTTCTAAAAACAAAGTATTGAATGTAATGAAACACCTCTTTCTTGTAGAGACCCAGTAGCTCCAAGTAGCAATCTCTCTGAGATTGGTCCCATACTACAAGTCATATCAATCACAGGAGTTCTCTTTGCCCTACTGCAAACCAGAGCCTGGTCCCATTACAGAGGTATAGAGCGCTAATGACATTCTGCCATTTTGTCAGAACAGCACCCAGAAAATCTGCAAATCTTTATAGACAACTGCTGAGTTCACAAGACTCAAAGCCTCAAAAATGCTAAGCAACTCCCCAGATGATTCAATCAAAACAAAATACTGTATGAGCTCGCTCTCCAAATATTTGGGTTATCCGGAGAAAATTAAGGTCAGATATTTTGCTGGCAAAACTTCACCACATCCGAATAGCAGTTTGGATAACCAGAGATTTTTCCAGATACCGCAGACAGGCATCGGGCCAGATATCTTTCTAGCAAAATTTCACCAAATCCGAATAGCAATTCGGATAGCCGGAGATTTTGCCGGATACCGCAGACAAGCATTGAGCCAGATATTCTTCTGGCAAAACTTCACCTTATCTGAACAACAATTCAGATAACTAGATTTTTCTGGATACCGAAAACAGGCATCGGGCATACAGTATTAATCCCATACAGCAGTGGCTCGAAGTGCATGGTAAGGGAAGTGTTGGGATAGCTGGTTTCAGAGTACGAGGGCAGTAATCAGAGACAATGTCTCTGATTAACTCCTCGACTGGAGGAGTGTTATTAGTGGAGTACCACAGGGTTCAGTTCTTGCACCAGTAATGTTCATCGTCTACATAAAAGACCTACCAGCAGGAATACAGAATTATATGAGTATAAAAATTTAAAAGTGAATGGAGTGGAATTATATGAACATGTATGCGAATGATGTTAAGATACTGGGAAAGATAGGAGACAGGCAATTGTAATGCCCTTCAAATTGATTAGATAAAATATGTGATTTGATAAAAATCACATATTTGTAAAATATGTAATCTGATAGAATATTTGATTTGTTAAGTGGCAAATGTTCTAAATGTCATATAATGGAATGTGGAATCAGAGAAAATAGACCACACACAACTTACAAATTATGTGGAAAGGAATTACAGAACTCTAATAAAGAATGAGATCTAGTGGCAGTTTTGGATAGTAAGCTGTCGCCAGAGGAACACTGTGAGAGGAGCGTATGTGCCGCTTTCCAGCTTCAGACTTGCTTTTATTTATATGGATAGTGAAATACTAAAGAAACTGTTCATGACTTTTGTGCTACCAACATTGGAATATGCAGCAGTTGTATGGTGCCCAAATCTCAAGAAGCACATGAATAAACTGGAAAAGGTGAAACGGCATGCAACTAAATGGCTTCCAGAACTGAAAAACAAGAGTTGCAAGGAGAGACTAGAGGCATTAAACATGCCAAAACTAGAAGATAGAAGAAAAAGAGGTGATATGATCACCACTTACAAAATACTAACAGGAATGTACCAAATTCACAAAGAGGAATTCCTGAAACCAGCATCTTCACAAACAAGAGGACACAGATTCAAGGTAATGAAACAAAGGAGCCAAAAATATATTAGAAAGTTTTCTTTTGCAAACAGATTGGTAGACACTAGGAACAAGCTAAGTGAGAAGGTGATGGAGGCCAAAACTGTTAGTAGTTTCAAGACGTTATACGACAAAGAGTACTAGGAAAACAGGACACCACAAACGTAGTTCTCATCCTGTAACAACACTTAGGTAATTACAACCTGTTGGTGGCTTTGCACATTGGGGGGGGGGGTGGATGAGTCAAAGTAAGGTTCAAGTGAACCATTTGGATTTTAATAAATCAACTGTCGAGTCCGTTTTTCGTTACGGTTGTTCATTTTTTATTGCATCGCCAACTTTCTGTATGCTTTCTCAGTATGGGTGATGATAACAATCCTCAGTTCTCTGTGCCTCATGGAGTGGCTCTGGTAGCACAACACGATACTAGGAAACAGGAATTGACATATGATGCCAAACAAGAAATAACAACATAAAAGAGATCACCCACTCAGAAAGTATAGAAATAACAAAGAGAAAAGCAATGACGAAACGACCACCATGAAACCACATACTGCTGCCTCAAGAAAGCCAGTAGGTGGGACACCAACTATACCACCCAATCTCAACACAGAAGGCTATACACATGCGTCTAGAAGACCAGATGAATGGAGCAGAGAAGGTCAAACCAGTGAAATCTGTCATAGACTAACCATACAATACAGGCAGAGCAAGGGGAAAAACAAAAACGGTCGGGTTTGGACACTTGGGGGTTAGTGACAGCGAGGGTGACCAGACAGACACTGCCATCAGAGAACTGGGAGTGGAACAGCAGACAGACCCCTGGCTGCCTCCCTCCTCCAGACAAGAGGGGAGGTGGGGGCAAATGAGCTATCACTAGTTTCATGAAATTTTGAATGTTTGTTAACATTGTTGGGAGAGTTCTGTAGTCATTTCTCAAGGCTGCAGGTGTCATTTAAAGCTAGCAGAAATTTGTTTTGTTTTGCAGACTTTCTGGGTGCTTTATTCAGTGGTGGCATAATTGGTTAATACCTTAATATTAATATTGTTCAGTGATTAATAACTTAATATATAAATGCCACCACTCCCTTCGCCTCTGTGAGAGTAGGCCAGGTTCTGGCACTTAGTTCATGGTAGGCTATACAACTCCATGACTGATGGGACCTACTAGTATGGCACACAATCACACAATAGTAGCTTCAGAGAGCCATAATGGACTTCCCCCAGAAAAAGTATGAGGTAAGAGTTAGAAGGAAACATAATTGCATAATTTCAATATTACTGCATAAGGCAACATTCATTTTTGCTGGCAACATCATTTACATGGTTCAGTGGCCTGTTTTAAGGGTCAGAAGGTCTAGTCATATATTTTGTGGTTTGGAAACATTTTTCTTTGTACACAGAAGGAGGGCTCTTATTACTTCATAAGTTCAATTTCTTTGTGTTGACCACTATTAACCAACACAACCAAAAGGTTAATGATTTTTAATACATAATCAAGATGACAAATATTAATATATATATTGCTTCTGCAAAGGCTACTTACATGTGCTGCCACTACTTGTGCATCTTTTACTATAGTTGCAAGAGGACTCTGAAGGGGAGAAGTTTCAGCCTCAGTAATGTCCATCAAATCCACTTGAGGCCGAAGTTCAAACACAGTTGAGTTGATAACACCCAACCTTTGGTGTAGGAAATAACTATATGCTGCAGTCTGTTGATAAAACAAAAACATTACTAGTTACTTGCACTGTGAAACTTCTACCTTATTATATACTATTTACAAATAATTTTTTTAATAATTCCAAACAAAAGAAGTTTTAACCACTGCATGGTACAGTAATAAAAATTAAATAAATTTATGGACCTTTTCACTGCTAATCCCATAGGCCAATAGATCTTGCATATGCCTATTGGCCTTTGCGAGGCAACTGTAATTGATATACAATCACACCCATTCATATATAGTTATGTAACCTGTGATTATAAGAATCCAACAAACCCTATGTATTATGTCTCCATGGTGTAGTGGTAAGACACTCGCCTGGCGTTCCGCGAGCTTTCTTCCAGCTTATAACGCATTGCATACTTTATTCCCAAAAAGACATGGTCACTTTTACCCAAGGGAGGAGGGTACTGAATGTCAAATATCTCTTCCTCCTTCCTGGTAAATATCAAATCTAGCATGGAGGGAACGTCCCCTTCCCTCATCCTCGTAGCTTGTTTAACCCTTAAAGTGCGCATCACTTCATATGAAGTGTAAATCGTTTTACCAGTCAACTGCGCTTCACTTCATATGAAGTGTATGGGTACCGCGCACGATTTGAATGGCCCGCGGTGTAGCTGGGGGTCCCATACGCTGCCCAGGGGCTCTAGTAAACAGCGGCCATTTTGAAAAAAAATCCAGCTCACGCTCCGATGGCATGGGAGGCCTCAGTTTAGCGAGAGTCACCATGGCGAGCGCACGGTCAAACGCCTCACGAGCACGCATCACTCAGTCCCTCACCCCAGAGCAAATAGCCCACGAATTATTCTCTGAAGGTGAAGAAAGTGTGTTTGACGATTCAGACAACGATGAGGATTATACACAGTTGTCGGGAGATAGTAGCAGCAGCAGTGAAAGTGAGAATGACCGCCATGCCATGGCGAGGCCTATACGCTCTCCCATGCCTCCTCGCCCATTTTCTACCCCAATTCTACCACGACCTCACAGTTCCTGTGGATATTTTCTGTTTGAGGGTGACGAGTCAGAGGGAGGTGACTCCTTTTCTGGGTTTAGTGACTCAGATCAAAGTTTTATTGAGCCTGTGGCTGGTACCAGTGGTGTAACTGGGCGAGAAATTGTCGCGTCAGCAGCATCTCGCCCAGCCAAGCGCCACCGCATGGCACCACATGAGGGACCAAGACCCTCGTGTTCACGTGCACCCACCTCACGTGCACGTAGCCGCCGTGCTTCTCGCAGACGGTATTCAGCTCCTGGTCGCCGGTATGCATCGCTTCCTCGCCGTCTTTCCTCTGCATCTCGCAGGACGCCTGGTGTACTTGAGTGGAGTGATGGTGACGATTTTATTCCTAATATTCCTCACTTTGACGATAAAGATGTAGGGATTACAAACCTTTTCCCTAATCAAGGTGAGGACATGGCTGAGATGGAATATTTTACAGCATTCTATGATGAACCACTCATGGAATACATTGTACACCAAACGAACCTGCATGCTGCTTACCTGATTGAGAGGGAAATCACAGAATTTTCACGACTGCAGCGTTGGAAAAATACCACAGTGGCGGAAATGTATGTGTTTTTGGCACTCTGTTTGTTGATGAAGCACTGTCACAAACATGCAATAAATGACTATTGGAGCAAGGACAAGACAATACCAACACCTTTATTCGGGAAATATATGTCACGAGACAGGTTTCAGATACTCCTCAGGTGTCTACATTTTGGAAGTGTTCAGGACCGAACACCTGATGATAGACTGTGGCGAGTGAGGCACTACATGAACGATGTTATTGGAAAATTCAGAGATTTTTACGTACCAGCACAGAAGCTGGTGGTTGATGAATCTCTCATACTTTTCAAGGGACGTGTTCCATTCAAACAGTACATTCCCTCAAAACGAAACCGATTTGGCCTGAAATTTTTTGTTCTTTGTGATTGTGAGACAGGATACGTGTTACACATGATTCTGTACTCGGCTAGTGATGTAGACATTCCCGGTAACGACGAACATGGATTCTCGGGGAGTGTAGTGAAGACCATCATGGCTCCGTGGATGAACAAGGGACACATTTTATACACAGATAATTACTATACAAGTCCCTTGCTAGCTCGGTTCTTGCTAGAAAATAGAACCGGATTGGTTGGTACAGTAAAGCCACAACGAAGGGAAATGCCTGTGTTTGACAACGACATTGCAGTTGGTGAGTGTCAGAGAAGGAAAAGTGATAACATTCTGTCAGTTCGGTGGAAAGACAAAAGAGAGGTGAACTTGTTGACAACAATTCATGATGGAACAATGGTGAACAGTGGGAAAGTGAGCCATAAAACAAACGCACCACTATATAAGCCAGACTGTGTTTTAGACTATAATATCATCAAATCCACTTGAGGCCGAAGTTCAAACACAGTTGAGTTGATAACACCCAACCTTTGGTGTAGGAAATAACTATATGCTGCAGTCTGTTGATAAAACAAAAACATTACTAGTTACTTGCACTGTGAAACTTCTACCTTATTATATACTATTTACAAATAATTTTTTTAATAATTCCAAACAAAAGAAGTTTTAACCACTGCATGGTACAGTAATAAAAATTAAATAAATTTATGGACCTTTTCACTGCTAATCCCATAGGCCAATAGATCTTGCATATGCCTATTGGCCTTTGCGAGGCAACTGTAATTGATATACAATCACACCCATTCATATATAGTTATGTAACCTGTGATTATAAGAATCCAACAAACCCTATGTATTATGTCTCCATGGTGTAGTGGTAAGACACTCGCCTGGCGTTCCGCGAGCTTTCTTCCAGCTTATAACGCATTGCATACTTTATTCCCAAAAAGACATGGTCACTTTTACCCAAGGGAGGAGGGTACTGAATGTCAAATATCTCTTCCTCCTTCCTGGTAAATATCAAATCTAGCATGGAGGGAACGTCCCCTTCCCTCATCCTCGTAGCTTGTTTAACCCTTAAAGTGCGCATCACTTCATATGAAGTGTAAATCGTTTTACCAGTCAACTGCGCTTCACTTCATATGAAGTGTATGGGTACCGCGCACGATTTGAATGGCCCGCGGTGTAGCTGGGGGTCCCATACGCTGCCCAGGGGCTCTAGTAAACAGCGGCCATTTTGAAAAAAAATCCAGCTCACGCTCCGATGGCATGGGAGGCCTCAGTTTAGCGAGAGTCACCATGGCGAGCGCACGGTCAAACGCCTCACGAGCACGCATCACTCAGTCCCTCACCCCAGAGCAAATAGCCCACGAATTATTCTCTGAAGGTGAAGAAAGTGTGTTTGACGATTCAGACAACGATGAGGATTATACACAGTTGTCGGGAGATAGTAGCAGCAGCAGTGAAAGTGAGAATGACCGCCATGCCATGGCGAGGCCTATACGCTCTCCCATGCCTCCTCGCCCATTTTCTACCCCAATTCTACCACGACCTCACAGTTCCTGTGGATATTTTCTGTTTGAGGGTGACGAGTCAGAGGGAGGTGACTCCTTTTCTGGGTTTAGTGACTCAGATCAAAGTTTTATTGAGCCTGTGGCTGGTACCAGTGGTGTAACTGGGCGAGAAATTGTCGCGTCAGCAGCATCTCGCCCAGCCAAGCGCCACCGCATGGCACCACATGAGGGACCAAGACCCTCGTGTTCACGTGCACCCACCTCACGTGCACGTAGCCGCCGTGCTTCTCGCAGACGGTATTCAGCTCCTGGTCGCCGGTATGCATCGCTTCCTCGCCGTCTTTCCTCTGCATCTCGCAGGACGCCTGGTGTACTTGAGTGGAGTGATGGTGACGATTTTATTCCTAATATTCCTCACTTTGACGATAAAGATGTAGGGATTACAAACCTTTTCCCTAATCAAGGTGAGGACATGGCTGAGATGGAATATTTTACAGCATTCTATGATGAACCACTCATGGAATACATTGTACACCAAACGAACCTGCATGCTGCTTACCTGATTGAGAGGGAAATCACAGAATTTTCACGACTGCAGCGTTGGAAAAATACCACAGTGGCGGAAATGTATGTGTTTTTGGCACTCTGTTTGTTGATGAAGCACTGTCACAAACATGCAATAAATGACTATTGGAGCAAGGACAAGACAATACCAACACCTTTATTCGGGAAATATATGTCACGAGACAGGTTTCAGATACTCCTCAGGTGTCTACATTTTGGAAGTGTTCAGGACCGAACACCTGATGATAGACTGTGGCGAGTGAGGCACTACATGAACGATGTTATTGGAAAATTCAGAGATTTTTACGTACCAGCACAGAAGCTGGTGGTTGATGAATCTCTCATACTTTTCAAGGGACGTGTTCCATTCAAACAGTACATTCCCTCAAAACGAAACCGATTTGGCCTGAAATTTTTTGTTCTTTGTGATTGTGAGACAGGATACGTGTTACACATGATTCTGTACTCGGCTAGTGATGTAGACATTCCCGGTAACGACGAACATGGATTCTCGGGGAGTGTAGTGAAGACCATCATGGCTCCGTGGATGAACAAGGGACACATTTTATACACAGATAATTACTATACAAGTCCCTTGCTAGCTCGGTTCTTGCTAGAAAATAGAACCGGATTGGTTGGTACAGTAAAGCCACAACGAAGGGAAATGCCTGTGTTTGACAACGACATTGCAGTTGGTGAGTGTCAGAGAAGGAAAAGTGATAACATTCTGTCAGTTCGGTGGAAAGACAAAAGAGAGGTGAACTTGTTGACAACAATTCATGATGGAACAATGGTGAACAGTGGGAAAGTGAGCCATAAAACAAACGCACCACTATATAAGCCAGACTGTGTTTTAGACTATAATATCAACATGCGGTTGATTGATAAATCAGACATGATGATTGGCACTGCAGAGTGTGTGCGGAAGACATGTAGGTGGACGAAAAAAGTGTTCTTCCATCTTGTGGACATGAGCATGCTGAACTGTTTCAACATGTACCTTGTGAGAA